ATCTTTATCCAATAATATATGAGATATTTATAATCCAATAATAAAATATTATGATGAAAGGTCATTATACAACAATATCCATATTATGAGATTACTTACCTAAGCTCAGGATTTGTGATAATACAATTATGATAAAAATTAGTTATAATAATATTTGTATTATATAATTAATTCAATAATATTCTACTTCTTTTTTTTTCTTTTTCATTTTACTTATTTTTCTATATTTATTTCATTATTATTTTTATTTAAATATATTAATTATATTATTTTCTTGGCAAATTTATCATTTTCTATATTAGTTTAGCTTTTATTTTCTATTTTTGCTATTAATACTTTAATATAGAACAAGATTATTAATTATGATATAGTTAAATTTTGTATAATTTAGAAGAAAATCAGTAATTTTGTAATATTAGCATAGATCTATTGTGCCATGTGCTGTATTATAACTGTATTATACTGTGTATTACTGTATCATACTATATCACTGTAACATAAAAATATATATAAATATAAGTGCTAATAATTAATAAAAATCAAGTTCTCAAAGTTTAGTTTAAGTTTTAAAGATTTAATTTAAGTTCTCCAGTTCTAATTTTAGATTCTTAAATTTTAATTTTGAGTTTCTTTTGGTTTAATATTGAGTTTGATTAAGTCTCTTTTTTTGTCTTTTTATTTTATCAAAAAATATTATTCTATTATCATAAATATTATTTTATTATAAAATTCAAAGTAAATTACTGTGAACACAATTATTATTATCATTTTGAAATACTTTTATACACAAAAGCTCAAAATGGTAACAATATAAGCTACAACTTTATTTATAAGTATATTTTATAATATTTAATAAGAATTAAAAATTTATATAGTGATAATTAAAGTATCTTTATTTTTATATTTATAATCAAATCTTTCTATAATTACACCTATTTATAGTTATATTTTTCTATAATCACTTTATTTTACTTTTCTATTTATATATAAATATAGTAAAAAATCTCTCTATAGTTACATTCTCTCTATAATCACCAAATTTTGCTTTTCTGAGGATAATGACTATAGAAAGATTTGACTATATTAAATTTGATTATAAATATTATATAACTCTTTGAATAAATATCATTAATGATAATTATTTTATATCAATTTATAGTTCTTATTTTTGACTATAACTTTACTTATAATTATAATTTATAATTACTATAATAAAATAAATATTTATTATACAAAACTAAAACATATTAAAATTAAAATTATTTTTTAAATTTATATAACTTCTTAAATATTTAGCTTAAATATTAATTATTTTATATTAATTTGTAGCTCATATTAAGATCTACAACTTTATTTAGAATATTAACAAATATTTACTTGAACTTGAACTGAACTTTTGATCAGATTTGAGTCAGATTTGAAGTTCAAACTGAACTTGAACCAGACTTTTAATTAGATTTGAATTTTTGAACTGAACTTTTAATCAGATTTGAATCTAGTTCAAGCTTGAACTGAACCAGATTCAAATTGAACCAAACTTTTTTTCAGAATCCTACAATAATTTTAGAAAAATATTAATAATATTCAATCAATTTTTGTAATTTAAATACAAAAAATATTTATTTTGATTAAACAAATTAAATGAATTTGAGCTTGCAAAGTTTTAAATACAAATTAATGAAATATTATTGTCTTACAAATCATTCAACATTTTGTGATTTTTTATGCTCTGACTTTAAATATCAATAACTTTACCAATATTGTTCTGAGTTTGTTGATTTAAATGCAAAAATATTATTATATAATGAACTTTGATTGAATATTTTACTAAATTATTCATATTTAATATTATTGAATTATAAATATCTTATATAATCAAACTTCTCTATAATTATCACCTTCAGGAAAGCAAAATTTGATAACTATAGAGAGAATGTGACTATAAAGAAATTTTTTTTACTATGTTTATATATAAATGGAAAAGCAAAATAGAATGACTAAAGAGAGGTGTAACTATAGAGAGGTTTGATTGTATCATATTAAAAGAATCTAATCATGTGGAATAAGCAAACGAACAAGTGAGCAAACAAATAAATAAGTAAATGAACAAGCAAATAAATAAATGAATAAGTAAAAATTGAACCAATAAAATTTAAGTAAATTAGCAAATATGAATTCATATAACTAATAAAATATAGTTTGAACACGTATAAAAGTAACATGTATCATAGTTAGAATTAGATTAAAAATAAGTCTTCAATAATAATATTTTCAATTATTATCTTATAGCTAGTTATCATGTGGTCTTTGAACTACTTTATGCTTTGGTGGTGAGTATTTTCTATATATGCCATTAGATATCACGAGCTCAGTATAACATTTATGTTTGATCCTCAAAGTGGGCTCGAAGATCAAACAAGTGAGCTAAAGAGGTTGATGCTCGCCAATTTTATTGATGTACCTACAGTTCGGGATTGGATCTGGGTCACGGATTCGATCGCGACATAGGAAGCTATAAAAATACATGAAAACATGCAACTATGAGTTTGATTGGTTTTATGAAGATCCACGAACTTCGTCGAAAATCATTTGATCCACTAGTGGCAAGCGTTGCCAAGTGAAATTGCAATATCTTGAAGCATTATACTAATACACCTTTTTTTTTACTTGGTTGGAATAGAGTTAATAAAAATTCCGTAATATATAATTCGATATGAAGCTGTATCGTGGTTCAATTACGGACCACAGTTAAATGTTATTATGGTTGATACGCATTTCATATGATATATGATTTGCAACAAGGAATATGGTTTTATTAAAAAAAGATTCAATTTATCCCCGTTACATTTGTGCGACTTAATCCAAGTTTTAGACTTACGTGTCTAGTTAATTACTCACAAAACATCAAAATATGACAAAAATTGAATCATGTCTTTAATATTAATCCAAATGAGAATTCTAAAAAGTATAATATAATTCCAAAAGAATTTATAAATTAAATACAACCAAAAATCTTCCGTATCAATTTGTTGAAAAAAGAATCGTGATGTTGACAACAGTGAGCCATAATATCGCAAAGGCAACAATTCAGTTATATAAATTTTTCATTTTAATTTTTATTTCTATTTTTATTTTATTACTAACCAATTAAAAAAACAGCGATGAACAAAATCTAATTGGTTAAAACCTTTATATGAGCGTGAAATAATTGATGACAACGAACCTCAAAAAATGTCTTCAACACCTAACCTTCCTTCAATTTTCGAATTGAATGAATTATTATATGAAGATTTTAATTCCACAATTAGCATATTATTTGAATCTGCGCCACCACTCGGGAAACATCTTGTAAGTTATCTTAAAACAATTCAATTCTGCAATCTTTTATTTATTGATCTTTTTCCCTTTTAAAGTACAAGGTGCGTCCATTCTCTTCATACAGCTCTTTGATAGATTTTGCCGAATCTATCACTTTAAGTGAAAATCTAAATATCCAAGAGAAATTAGAAGTAATAAATGCGCATCCGCGTTTAGGTGAAAATAAGAAGAAATTATCTGCTCTTTCCTATAAAGAGCAAGGGTACGAAAATACGACAACTACAATCGAGAATGCAAGTTCTGGAAAAAGCGACGAGAATAAAAATAATGACGATTTGATTAACGAGCAACTTCAGCAATTGAACAGAAAATACGAAGAAAAATACGGGTTTCGCTTCGTAATATTTGTTAATAGACGGTCCCGTGAGGAAATTATCCCTGTTCTTGAGGAACGCTTGAAGGATGGAAGCAAAGAACAAGAACTCGAAACAGGCTTCAAAGAAATGTTTAAGATTGCACGTGACAGACTGAGTAATTTGGGAAAAGAATAGAATACATTGTCGGTAGTTTAAAAATGATACTTTCTTTTGATAAATTTCTATATACATGCAATAAATGGAGATTTTATGATGTGAGAATGTATTGTTCAAAATAAAAAGCTTCATCGAGACTGCTAATATTTTATAATTTGCATTAAATAATAGTTGTTTCTGGTGTAGAATTCAGAGCTCCAAAATCATCAATATGTTGAGATTTAACAGAATCAAAGCAGGAAAAATCCGTCGTTGAGAACCAAGAGTTTGACTGAGACTGTGTGTCTATTTCACTTGCTGAAACCAATTCTCCGAAATCATCATCATCATCATTTAGAGAAGATACAGATGGAGTCGAATTTGCATTAATTTGAGATGTCATTTCTGAATTATTGCTTTTTGAGGTTGTCTGATTTATAGGACTGCTGCTCGATATTGAATTTGGATCAGTGACTACTTCTGACTTCAACACAGCCGTTAACTCTTGAAAATCTTTGAATGCAGAATTTTTCGTGGAAAATAGTGAATGAGCGGAGGTTCTTGGAAAAAGCGAAGAAGCAGAAGATTGATGCGAATGTGAAGATGTCGTGGGGAGTGAATTTTTAATGGAATCATTGACAAAATTCGACTTTGTTCTTTGAGACGTCTCAGAACTCCTTTCCCCAAAATCTAAAACGGAATTCTTTTCTTGGGGTTTTTGGATACCAGTAAACACTTCTAAACGAGTATTTTGGGCGATTTCAGTAGGCTTCGATGTCGTGATCGGTTTATTTTGAGCCTTGGAAGGAATAGTCGGTCTCATTATTTCAAAAGATAATGAAGAGGATTGGGAAGAAAAATTTGACTCGGCAGAATCGAAAAATTCACTTTTTGTGGTGTCGGCAGAAACCAAATCTCCGAATTCATCTGAAGGGAACATCATGTTCAATGAATTTTCGTTTTTTTGCGGCTGATCTCTTTTTGTATCTATTACTAAACCTTTATGTCGTGATTTTGATTGTGTATTCAGTGAATTATCGGAAAGTTTAGCTGGAACTGGTTGAATAGGAGATGAAAATTTGGATTTGTTCCATTTCATCGAAGATTTTTTCGAGCCTTCTGGTGAAGATACAATTTCTGAGACCAAAGCAACCGTGAGTTCTTGCAAATCTTGTAATGCTTTGGATTTTGTTGTATCCTGTGTTATCAAGTCAGCTAATTCAGAAGTCTGCGATCCTTTGCCAGCATTATTTGAAGAGTGATACAAATGTTTCAAATAATGTGCATCAAATAATTGATTGCGATCAGGCTTTGAATCATTAAAGAATTTTAGTCCGGCTAATTCATGCAAAGGTTGCGAATTGCAAGGGGACATTGGAGATATTGGAGAAGTGGGCGGTGAAGTGGAAGTAGAAGAAAGAGCAAGTTCCGGGATCGAAAGTAATGAATCACGCCTGCTTTCGATACTTGATTCTCGTCTACTTTCATTTATCGATTTACGAGGTTCAGCTGTACTCACTGCTGTCATCGTCTCATTCATGATCTAAAAATGATTGGCTATGAGTCAGATTTTGAGCGTATCGAAAAGAAATAATGTAAATAAATTGTTCATTAATGAACAAAAGATAAGGTACCTTTGAATAAATCGGAATAATTGGCACTGTAGCAGGTGTGGCATCATTTGGTGTGGTCTCAATCGGTGTTGTATCCTTTTTCTGTTAGATCAAATTGAGATTAGTTTAATTGATTTTTCTGATGATAAAAATATCTGTATTTTACTACATACACTTTCTTTAAATCCGAAAATATTTTCAAAGTATACTTTTTGAGTTTGTGAACCACGCCAAGTCACTCTGACTATTCCATCATCATTAATCATTGGTTCAACGAGAGATGATAATGTAATTTCAGAGTTTAAATATCTTTGATAAAAAATTTTAAAGATTTAACTGTGGCTGTTAGAATGTAAATATATAAAAAACATATATCATAAATAATATTTACTCATTTGCATTATTAACAAGGTCTTTTAAAAGGATGGATTTAGGTAAATTCTGTGAATCTGATGCTGATGCATTCGATGGATATATTTGATCCAAAAACTCAATCCAATGGGTGACTTCTTGCGGAAATTTCTGATATATTAAAATTTTAGAATTTTCTATCAAAAAATTTACAATCAATTTATTCCCAAATAAAATTGCGATAAACTTACACTATGATCAATCGAAGACACGTCTATATTATTCAGTGTGTCTTGCAAGTCATCAGTATCGTTATTCTCTTGCCCAAACTCAAAATCTCCAAACTCTTCGTCATTGACATTTTCATCATTATCATGATCGCTATCATTCGGTGTATTTATATCTTTACCTGAAGACTGTGAAATGAAATCCCCAAAATCATTATCATCATCTTCTGGATCTATGACCTCTGTCCCGCTTATGGGAGGGGATGTAGGCGGAGTTAATAAAGAGGATATCTTTTTCGAATTTTTAATTTCCGCTTCTTGAATTGATTCATTCAAGACTTTTTCATTTTCACCAAGATTGTCTTTAACAGAGAAGGGAGACTTTGGAGAAACAGTCGAAGTAGGTGATGCCACTATTTCTACCTCTGACCACGCATTCTCTGCAACGTCTCTCAATACACCCGTACTGCTTATTGTTGTTCTCTTTGGTTTCTCTTCCGGTTCTTGCTGATCAAATTCTTGCCAAACATTGGTAAATTCTACATCATTCGTAGTATTATCCCAGGTAGAGAACTCAGACCATTCACTATCTTCGTTGCTTTTGTGGTTTGTAATTTCGTTATGCACAAAAAAATTGCCAAAAGCTTTATTCATTTGTGAAAAAAGAACGTCTAACGCAAACAATGGTAATTCATGATACAACCAATTTTCTTAAATAATAAAAAACCTGTATGATGTGGCTTTGAATAAAAATGGACAATGAGATTTCCTGATCTATCGCTATCAGATGATCATACTGTTCATCGTATAGCGTCGATTACACAGCCAACGTGTATCATTTATTTGTGCATGTATATATATAGTGAGGGCGACAAGTCAAACATCAACAACAAAAACGAGGAATATGACAGAAGAAGCTGTACCTGTTGTTGAGCCAAATGCTGTGGAAGAACCCCTTGACTTGGTTCGATTATCTCTTGATGAAAGAATTTATGTAAAGTTAAGAGGTGACAGAGAATTACGCGGGAAATTACACGTGTGTCGTTTTGATTTGTTATAAATAAAAAAAATCTATCTTGGTTGGTCAATCAAGCCAAGCCTTTCTTTTCGTTTTTTTTTTTAATAATTGATAATCTTTTGATCCACGAAAGGCATACGATGGACATCTAAACATGATTTTGGGAGATGTTGAAGAGACCATCACTGTGGTGGAAATCAACGAGGAGACGGAAGAGGAAGTCATTCGTGTAGGTTATCGATCTATATTTTTCCTCAATGTTACCAAATTTGATGTTATTGTTTCTTAAAAAACCATAGACTATCAAAAACACTGCAGAAATGTTGTTTGTACGAGGAGATGGTGTAATTTTGGTAAAACAAACTTCTCGACCCTGCGATTGTTATTTTGCATTCTTTTTACGAACCTTTCCATCTTTATTTAAGGTTTCTCCACCTTCAAGAACTGGCGCTTGATGTATACACGTGCTTCCTATTTAACTCCCTTTTTAGACTAGCTGCATCATTTGTGCTATGTAAATCATTTCATTGAACTGTATCACCATGATTGTATGCTTACAATATGCTATATAACATAGAAAAGCGGAACAATTCATTTTTTGTTTCTCGATATTTCCTTTGCGTTTTTTTATTTCTTTCTTTCGTGGATAATTTATTTTGAAATGAGTTTATGAACAAAAGTACTAAAATCGCAAAAGATTAATAATAAACATGAAATCAAAGAGGTGATTATGAAAATGATTATTTTTGGTTCGAATTCCCCAAAAAAATTAAATTAACATGTATGTATGATAGCTAATGAATTAAATGCTCAAGAAAAATATACGGTATAAGTAAAAGGAAAAGGTAAACAAAAAATAAGCCCAGCAGGATGACATTTTTTCCTGTTTATTCTTTATGAATAACCAATTCCTGAATAAAATCAATAAAAAAATAAAAATAAACCAATGTCCGCAAATTAATATAAAATAATAATAATATAATAATGTCCTTGTCTTGAAAGATTATATTTTAACAACACTCGTTTTTCATAAGCTCGTGATCACACTGTAGAATACAACACCATAACTTCTATACCACTTTAAGATACTTTATATCGTTAATGCCGTAATGCCACGAGAATTTTGTTTAGGACGCGGTTCGTACATTAACCGCGTGTCAAAAGTTGATGGAAGGTTACTCCGCCGAGAATCGATAGCTAGATATACAAAATAATTTTAATAAATATATAGAATTAAGTTAAAAAAAGAATAATTTACACAAAAATACCAAATATATCAAGTCCTTCTTCATCAGGCTCCATTGCTCGTACTGTTTCTGATATTGCATATGAAGCGTCCTATGAGAAATTAAATAATGAATTGAATAAAAGTTAAAGCCGATTAAGTTTTTAATGCCGCAAACTCACATCCAAAAATCGAGTAGCTTCTTTGGAGAGTTTAAGTTTTGATCGGTTTAATTTTGCAGTTATACTTTCATCAAAAAATAATATTTCTGGGTCATCTGCTGGGCGCGCTAGGCGCTCATGTATAAACTGAGAAAATGCTTGTGAATCCATTAGGCAAGAGAGGAATGGCTATCATCAAAATGGAAATATATTAATATGTATTTTTTTATAGTAACGAAAAATAAAAATCTACGAAATTTAGTATTTTTTTTTAGTTTACCTTTGCTTCTCGGTCAACATTTTTCAAGAATATTTCTTTTTGAAAGAATTCGTCTTCACAAAGGTCTTTGCTTGTTTCACTAATAACACTCTTGCCATTCCCGTTATTGCGAATATTTCCATTTGGCATGTATGCCCGATAATTTCGCAATAATGAAGCGAAAACACGTATAAATGAATCTTGCACTTTGGCTTCATTGAAGCAGGCTGGAATGCACGGGTGCGTTATATCGGAAAGACAATCATCATGAGCAACCATAGAGCACCCTTAGTTTATAAAAATTAATAGGGCTTGTATAATTATTATGGGAAATTAAATAAACAAATACTACATCAACTCTCCCCTTACCTTCGCATTTGAACACAACATTCAGACCCAAACTTTTTTGACATATTCCACATGCAAGACCTTCCAACATCCATGTGCTCATTCCTGGTTGACCATTAGGATTGCCTTCTGTTGGTATTTCAACCATTAGATGTCCTTCTCTTGATATAAATTCTTTTTCGGTAGGAATTCGTTCTGAAGGATCAACCATTACACTCCAGCCATCAGCTGAAAAGAGTGACTCACTATCGTATTGTGACGAGTTGGTTGTTTGCGGTAAGCTGATTACATCACTAGATAATTTGTGTGCATGTCCTGGACCATTCCGATTCATGACTAATAAACTACTTCGATTTAATGCTTTGCTTCGTAAAGTCTGTAAGAGAATTGTTAGATATTAAATTTAATTATTTAATAAATTAACAAATTTATCTTCATTCCACTTACCATAATTGAATTTCGGGCACCAGTAAGCGTGCTCGAACGATTCTTATTCTTTTTTAAAGATTCAGAAATACTCATCACTTTTCCTCCCTAATTTATATTATCAATAGAAACTTAATAATTTAATAAGAGCCACATTCACTAATTGAATAATTGATTACTTTACCTTTTCACTTTTAAGACTACCCTCACGACCTTCATACACACTAGCAGCCCCAGAAAAAGATGACATTCTTCGTTGCATAGGATATCCAGCAGCTCCAGTCAATGAATTAATCCGTGGAAATGAATCTGCTGAGGCAAATTTCGGTGATCCGGTTTCACCCATATCGTAAAATCCTGTCATTGAAGGAGCAAGCGGAACAGCTCGAGCCGGCGCACCTATAACAGAAGTGATTCGACTATTCTTTTCGAAAATTTTTGATTTTGAACAGAGAGGCGTGAATCTTCCATTAGGATAAGCTTGTTGCACGTACAAAGGCACACCGTATGGAGTAGCGTAATGTGAGTGTAAGGGTGCATATGCTTCTAATGCTTGAAGCAATTTCTTTCTTTGACGGGGTGGTATTTGTGGAGGCGGTTGTGCCATCATCAGTGTATCTTTGTCCAAATCGACTATACACGCCTTTAATATAGAATAGGTTAGCCAATTTATATTAAAAAGATGGTTGAATAGATATTTACATACATCTTCGGGAAGCAGGTCCATTCCTTTGTACTGCCGCTGAATTCCCATTATATAGGGAACAGGTGCCTAAATATAACAAAAAGACTATCAGTAAAACCAAGCCATACATTGTAATTTAGAATTTGGACTAAATAAAACATGGTACAAATGTATACCTGAAGACAAGCCATAAGACGTGCAGGTAAGATTGGAATGAAAACTCCTTGCCAACTTAAAGGATACATGAGATAAGTTATCGAATGCGCTACCAAAAATAGCATATCGGGATACGATGAAATTAGTAAAATTTTTCCTTCGGCCAGAGCAACCTAAAAATAATCACGAGGAAATAAACAAGGTTTAATGTCATGTTCAAATGAATCCGATATTTATCATATAAAATATTAAGGAAATACCTCGAGTAATGTCAATATGCTTTTGAAGGAAAGACTTCGGAATAATGGATACAAAGAAAACTAGGACAAAATAAAATAAAAGAGTATAATTATTAATTTATATTTTTAATCATTAAAATATATTGTAAAATGGAAGAATTGTATAAGCTTATATGTATAGCAGAAATTATATAAAGTTGCTACTACGATTTTAAGACATAGTAAGCTACTATTGAATTAATTCCTGGTCACAAAATCATAAAATATAAGCATCCATTCAATTAATAGTAGGATTGATCTATCCAAGAGTAGACATTAAATAATTTTCACCTACATCGTTCATTATAGGAATTTGATTTAAAGCAGGTCGTCCACAAAAGAATGTCATATCGTTAACTGTAATCGCAACTTGCGATTTGCCGGGTGGAGGAACGGGAACTTCATGGACTAAGTTTACAATATATCTGAATTATGATAATGGAATATTAATGGATGTTATGCAAAATTATTGGCAAATAAGATTATTTTCCTGTTAAATATATTATCAATTTTCTTTTAGAGATTTTTCTCGCAGTACTTGATAGGAAATTTCGATGAATGTTGAATTAAACTTACCTTTCCAAAGGTAAATCTTCCAATTTTTTTGATTTTAAGCCATCTATCATGGGCATTGTTACTGCACATAGCCAATCTTTTAATACATCATGCCATGGAAGATGGCTAATCACTCCAATACATTTTGGCATCCACAATTTAGTTAAGTCAACGACTCCCGATTTTATCGGTTGTAAAAGCTCTATGTATAAAGCTATCTTTTCTTCTGCTTCTGCTTTTTCCTGCTCAACTTCTTCTCTTTCAGCTATAGTCAAAACAGGCGATTCTGAATCTAATTTTTTACGAGCTAAATCTACTCGTTCTTTTTCAAACCGTATCTTTTCAGCTAAAGAATTTGCGTATTCTATCTTACTAGAAGCCTTTAAATATATTAGAAAAATTTAGAGTATAGTCTGAAAATTTCGAATGAATTAAATAATAAGCTAACCATATTTTTGGTGCACCATTCTTTGTGCAGTATGTCAACTTCATTAACCAGATGTTCGAGCAATGGCTCGTATGTCGTAAGACACACGCCATAACGTTTTGAACCATCTTCTTGTGTCATCACCTAAATAGTATAGCTGTCAAGAATATTTTTAGCAGAAAAGCATTATTTAAAAATTCTCGTCTTTTTAAATAAAGGATACAAATCCGTGAAACGTAGTTGGAGGGACACTTTCACTTTCACGAATAATTATATCATTAGGAAAGCAAAACTAAAATTGAGTAATTAAATTAGAATATTTATTCGAATTGATTGCAAGATGGGAAACAAATAAGTATGAATGATTCAAACCATGGGTATATATGCTGGAAAATGCTCCTCTTTCGAATAATCTTCTTTAGGATATCGACAAAGCAATCGAGGAGAATACTTTTGCTTAAGTGGATGTTCAGTTGCTTCTGGAATATTTCCTTTCGAAGTAGGAGCTTGCGGTGCTACATTTAAATATGACACTGTGTATGATAGTAGAATAATATAGAGGATTGATGATTTTATTAGATTCTTCAATGTTGATACACACTTTTCCAATTTTTGATAAAAAAAAGACCAATTATCCCGCATTGAAAAATTTTCCCTGATTCGTGGAATAAATATATACATGTGTATATATATCCATGTATACATATAAATAGATAGATAGCTTCAATTTCAAATTAAACTATCACATTTGTCATTTTTAAAACACTTACTTCGGTGCTGTGAATTTTCATGTACCGGTGTATTATTTTTTAGAGTTGATGAAGACGAAAAAGAATCAGTTTCTGAAAAGCCTTCGTCCAAATTTTTACGTAATTTTGTTGACAGTATCGAACCATTGCGAAATATGCCAGTGGTAGGAAGTATTGAGGTTCGATTTTTTGATACGCTTTCATTTCCAATGCCAGCATTACCCTTCCCTCCCGATTCACGAGCACTATTACGTCCGAGTGACTTTAAAAAATCGTCACGTTCACTGTCAAATTTAATAATACTGGCACGAATACTTTCAAAAAGTGTAGCAGCATCCGCGATACCCTCAAAAAGTGTATCAGCATCCGCGACTCGGACGTTTCCTTCGTCGCCATTAGTTGTTATTCTATTATCAGTTGACCTGTCAACATTACGACCACTAATATGTGGAGTACTGGAAACACTTTTATTATTTTGAGATTTTGTAGGTTTGACATTGGTGGTTTTTGATGTTTTTTCTATAGAAGCGAAGTGAAAGTCTTGTGGTAAACCAGCCAAAAACACGTAGTCTACTAGTCGCTTCTCGGACATGATGAGAAATAATGACGCTAATGAATTTTAAGATTCGAAGTAAAAAAAACAACACAGAATGTTCAAAATTTTACATAAAATTAATAAATTAAATTTCTAACTTTTTGGACAAGAACAATTTTAATATTGTTGGAAAACCCTGTTTACCCAACAAATAAATCTAATATTTTAGATATTATAAACGGTTTAAAGGAAAAATTTCGTTGAGCGAATAGTTACTTAAACAAGGAAGTTTGTTGCTTGACAATGCATAACACGTGACAGAAATAAAATTGCATGCTTAGTTGTAAAAAAAAATATCATGTCTAAAAATAGCGAATTAAGTAGGTTTCGTGGTGATAATGACAATACATGTATGTATGTATGTATCCAACATCTACATGCATGTTTTATCTACAACTAATTGTATATATGTTAAAGATCCGGTTTAAACGGTTTTGATTTAGGCTATTTCCGGTTCAAAGTGATAACGATAATGATACGTAAGGTTCATGTCATCTCTCACTTTATCGAAATCAAAATATTTGTAAATATTTAATAACAATAAAAGATAACGAGGTCGAACTTAGCATTAATGTTCATATTCATATCATTATAGATAAGATCGTCATGTAAAAAAAATCACTCGACTAATCAGATTTGGAAAACTGGATAGTCTCAAAGTTACACTAGATGATGCAATCAACCGTTGTGATGCCATTTATTGATTATATATACTACGAATTCACTTTGGAATCACTTCGTATTTCTATCTACTATGGCTACTGAAGAATATCCTGAAATTCGTACTGGCGGCTCGCTTATTCTTGCTTGGCGGAGCAAAGAAAAAAATGTTCTTATTGTTGGGGGTGGCAATGTTGCCGCTGGACGCATCGTAAGCGTTTTGGAAGCTGACGCAAAAGTAATAGTTGTATGTCCAGAGAACGGTTTAAACAACGAAGTAAAATATCGAATCGAATCGAATCAAGTGAATAAATGGATTAATCGTAAATTTCGTGAAAATGACCTTGAAGGAATAGATATGGTTCTGACTGCTATCGATGATCCTATAGAATCGCGTAAAATTTATGAACTTTGCCAAGCTAAAAAGATTCCAGTGAATATTGCTGATGTACCTCCACTATGTGATTTCTATTTCATGTCACAACATCGAGATGGTCCACTTCAGGTTGCCGTATCGACAAACGGACAGTGTCCCAAACTGGCAAACATCATTCGTCGTCAAATTGCTGACACATTGCCGAAAGGAACCAAAGATGCGATTACAAAAATGGGAGAATTACGACAAAAACTCCGTAAAATTGATCCGGAACATTCATCTTCTAGTAAGAGAATGGATTGGATTAGTAAAATCTGTGAACAGTGGACTTTGGATGAACTGAACGAAATGAATGAAAGAACAATGGATACATTATTGTCTTTTTATGAATTGGATCAAGTGCCACAATATAATTCTCTTTTGAATATTTTCGAAAAAAATGTAAAGGAGCAGAACGACCAGATTTCAAATGAAACCGCCGGAGATAATATCGAAAATAATAAAAAACAACATGAGAAACGAGAATCCATGGAATCTATCGAAATAATTCAACAAGCCGATAATAAGCGTGAACCTAAAAAGAAAGGCAGAATCATTCTTGTCGGTGCAGGTCCTGGTGATCCTTTACTTCTTACACTTAAAGCTTCATTAGTGCTTGCTAAAGCAGACTTAGTTTTATCTGATCGTCTAATTCCGCCAGCCATGTTATCGTGTGCAAGTTGTGAAATTCGCCTTGCGGCATCAAAAGCTGGCGCTGAAAAAGCCCAAGATTCACAAGAACAACTCTTAGCGTGGGGACTAGAAGCTTTAAAAGAAGGCAAAGTCGTTGTTAGGCTGAAAATAGGAGACCCATTTATATTTGGACGAGGTGGAGAAGAAGTTGCATTTTTCAAGAAAAATGGATGGGATGTTGAAGTTATACCAGGCATTAGTAGTGCATTCTCTGCCCCTTTATCTGCTAATGTCCCTCTTACGCAGCGTGGTGTGGCAGACCAAATACTTATAACTACAGGTCAAGGTACTAAAGGACGTATGCCAGAATTACCGAATTATCACCATACGCGCACCGCAGTCTTTCTAATGGCAGTTGGGAAAGCCAATGAATTAAGTAAAATTTTATTAGAGAAAGGGTATCCAACGGATTTGCCTGCGGTATTCGTCGAGAATGGTAGTCGATCAAACGAAAGAATCATATATGCCACTGTCGCCACGTTAGGAAAAGCGGTCGAAATTAATAAAATCATTTCACCTTCAACTCTAATAATTGGTAGAACGGTGGACGTATTACAAGATAAGAAAATCGTGAATAATACAATTCCGTGTCAAGAACAGACGGACATTTTAATTGATTTCTAAATTTAGGCTAAATTTAGGCTTTATTTATTCGTTATTGTTAATGTACAACAAATAGATAATAATTAATATTACAAGAATGTTATTTTATAAACAAGTGCAAGATATTCAATGAACGTTTTAATCTGTCTCTCTCCAAAATAAGTTTAATGTTTGTTATCGTTATGTAGCTCTTGTTTCTGGCTACAAATCGGTAAACATTTGTAAAATTAATTATACATTAAAATCATCGTCAAGCATTTATTTATATTAAGAATATTTATCGAAGAAAAATCTCGCTCTTTCTAGATTAATAATCAAATGATTAATCAAAAACGCATTTGTCCGCTATGACTTAATAAAATTTCTGGGAACTTCATGAATTTACGAGAATTAACAGGTCTAAATGAATATATAAATGAGTCGTCTAGACCTTCCAAAGCAATTATTTCTTTGACAACATACAAGGCAATTAAACATACAAAGCAATTATTTTCTTGATAACATAGAAAGCAATTATATTTCTTTGATAACATACAAGGCAATTAAATATACAAAGCAATTATTTGGTAAATTACTCCCAACATGTCTCTTCTTCCACGAAACCTCTTCCCGGGTATCGCTCATGCTTTCTCTTTACTCGACGAGCCTCTACTCACAGCAACTCGTCGTTTTCCTTCTGCATTTCCTACCTTGGCACCTTCTACCATCACCTCTCGCTATAGCCCATCCGTTGATATTTCCGAAACAGATAAAGATTATGTCATCGAAGCTGAAGTTCCTGGAATGAAGAAAGAAGATTTGTCGGTTGAATTTCTCGACGACAACACATTAATGCTGAAAGGAAAAATTGAAAGAATTCGTGGTACCGCTCCTGAACAAGAACCACTTAGAAAAATCAACGCTGGTCAAGAAGGTGCTGCCGCAGAATCAACTGAAGTACAAACTAGAGGAGACGAAACAACTGATATCAGACAGCCTTATTATTGGTCAAACGAACGTGCAATTGGAAGTTTCTCTAGGTCATTCCAATTCCCTGGTAAAATTGACCCAACGAAGGTGAAGGCTGCTTATAAAGATGGAATTTTGGCTATCAGCGTTCCTAAAGTTGAGCCTCGCGGAACAAAAATTAATATTGAATAATCTAAAATTCAAAATCACTTTCTTATAATGAAAAAGAACATTGTCACTTAATTAGAAACGGGTTATATGCCTTTTCTGTTTAGTATATAATAACTAATGTTATAGCTTAGCTAAAATAAATATTTTTTCAAATTCTGATTCTAAACGCATTCGAGTAATTTGTACATGATAAAATTTACAAGTGATTCATTTTTATTAAATCTTGGCAATTTGATTGTAATCATCGAAGCTATTGTTTAAGATACAGGAAAACACCGGCATATAAAGCCTGAAACCATTTTCATCTTTTGGTAAAATATACCATTCAAAACAAATACTAATAAAATGACTTTAATATTGCTTGAAGACTATATATATATTGCCATAACCTAATAATATTTTCTAATAATTAGACAACAATAATTTCACCAGTACAACCAGAGCAACCTGCTATTTCCATTATAGCGCCGGTGTTATTAATTGGTACGACTGGAGATCGAGGTGTATTCGGTGGTGGCGGTGGTGCATCAGGTGACAATCGAGAATCAACTCCATTATCTGTATTGTTTATTGGAAATGGAACATAACGACGAGGTTTCTGAGGAACAGAGTTTGTAACATTCGAAAAAGAGTCAACAGAATATAGGGGAATAGTAGTTGGTGGCGTAATTGATGATTCTTCTGTAACAGTACTTTTTTCTTTACTTAGCAAGTCAAACGCAGCTTGTAATTGAGAAAGTTGATGCTCGAGATTTTGAATTTCTTGGTTTGCGGATGAATTTGAGTCTCCGGTAAATAAATTCGCATTTCCATTTTGTTTAGACGAGATTTCATCGTATTTTTTACGATAATCTGCTAGTTCTGCTTCGAGCCTATTAGCTCGATTCTTTTCGCGGTCAACTTGTTCGGCTAATACCAATTTGTCATTACTAATCTCCACTACTTTCTCTCTTAATTCACTTAATTGATCAATTAGATTACGATTGTCCGCAGATAATCCGTCAATTTTTGTTGTTATGTCTTTAATCCGTTTTGTTAGTTTAGTATTTTCCGTCTGAACAGATTGAAGCTCCTTGGTAAGAGATTCTCGTTCTGTATGAAGTTCCTGAGCAACGTTTGATTTAAACGTTAAGTTTTCATAGTGTTCAGCAGCTTCTTTTGATTTTGTCTCATGTTCAACCTGTAACGACTCTAATTTTTGTTTGATTTCTGTGTTTTGTGTATTTAAAGATGTAATTTGATTATTTAATGATTCAAATTTAGCTTCTATTTCTTTGGAAGTCCGTTCAGTATTTGCGAGTTTTTCCTCCTTATCTAAAAGTTGTTGCTCGGTATTGGCAAGTCGATGTCGTATATTTGACAACTCAATTTCAAGAGCTTCACAACGATCTTCTTTATCTTGAAGTGATTTAGTAAGCCGTTCAACTTCTCCAGAAGTCGAACGAATTTTCGCTTTTTCCGCTGTCAATTGTTCAATAATAGAATCCTTTGTGCTTAACTGTGATACCAATTGATTATTGTCTTTTTCGAGCTTTTCAGCTCTCGCTTTCTATAACGAGATAAATATTAAACAGACCCAAGAGAATATTAAACGAGTTTATGAAAATAAAAAATACCTGCAATCTTAATGTTTCCAATGTTCGTTCAGTTTGATCACCAGCTTCTTTTAATTTAATCTCACCATCTCGAATTTTCTCCTCAAGCTCTGCATTTTGTCTTCGTAAGGCATCTACCAGCAATTGTCCCTCTTCTAATAACTCTTCACTACGTTTGAATCGATCAGCCATTGCAGTGTATTTGTCGAGTTCGGCAGTGAGTCCTGATTTTTGTTCAACCAATACAGCTATTGTTTGTTGTTGTGTGCTACAAATATTCGCTAGATCTTCATATGTTACGGACCCTTCTTCAGCGGTAAACGATTTTTTATCGGGCATGTTAGTTTCCATCAATGCAACTGTCGGTATAACAACTTTTTCACGTGGTTCTTCTATTGGTTGATGTCCTTCGACAATTTTGCTATGGGATTCTACGTGTGGAAGTGATGGTTCTTCAACTGCATCAGCAGATCCTCTATAGTGACTAAAGCATTAGATAAAAGATTCTAAGGCACTAATAGTTATAAGGAATTGTTGCTTACTTACGGTGTCACTTGTTGTTTTTCTTTTTCTACATCAGAAGAAACAGCAACAACAGAGATTTCTTCCACTTGAATTTTCGATCTATCTCAAACCAAAAAAAAAACCAAAAAAGTGCAATATAAATACAGTGATCAAATAAATTTATGAAAAATCTCGGTTTTTATTTAATTATCAAATGCGGCGAATTTATGTAGTAAAAAGATACGGAAAATCAAAGTGTGAAGACATATTTCGACCCAATATTTTTTAGGAAACTTACTCGTTCGCTTTCGCGTCAACGGTAACTTCGGTTTGGACACTGCCAGTTTCAGAATTGATACTTGACGTACGAGTACGACTTGTGGCTGCAGAGTCAACACTCGTTCTACGAGCTGCTATAGGGGACGTTTGGTCACTAGCTGTACTATTACTGGTATTATTAGTGTTTCCGCCACCTCCACCGCCAGCTTTTTTCTTTTGATATTTTTTTAGCTGGTTCAGTCATAAAAGGACAGAACGAAATCAATAAAAGAAACCTAGTAAGCTTAACGAGACAAAAAATAAAATAATTCCTTCAAATGTCAAGTACCTTTTTTTTTCCAGCTAAAACCTTTTCACGTTGCGCTTCTGCGTCCATTGTGACTAATAAGTGATAGAAGGAAATATAATAAGCGGAAAAAGAAATTCATGAAATTCTCGCTTTATATTGAATCGGTGACACATTAGAAAAATCCCACGCTTTCCATCAATCTGAAATTATCTTTCTCTACACTTTTTTCATAATAAGTTGTTAGTTATAATGGTATTATATCATGGGAGTCATTAAAACAATATTAATACGGGTCTAGAAATATTCGTTACAGAGGCAAATTCGTTACAAAATGCATTCGTACTTAACATCGAAAAATATTAAGCAACATTCTGTTAATACTAGTTTTTAGCATAATCTAATAGATTAATAAATTTTATCACCAATAATTGAAAGCATTAAACTTTTAACTAATCAATTAAAATTATAGATTTTATTAATTAAAAAAGCAAAATTGGATGATTATAAAGAGATTTGATTATAAAAAGTGATTCTTTATTATGTTTATATAAATAAAAATAAATGTGACTTTGATTGTATTTAATTGTAATTACTTGCATTTATTTATAATTATTTTTTTTATATAGTGCAAGATATCTTAAATCAGCAAATTTTACTAGTAAAATTGGCACTTTAAATTTGTTAAAATTTAATCAATTAACAAACAATTTTGATTTTCTTTATTATTAAATAAATATATTTTTAGAAAATTTTTATAAAATTTATTGTTATCATATATACATAATATATATATTTGAGAAATGAAAGAAAAAAAGATTTTATAATAAATGAATATTAACTAATATTTGACATGTTTCTTTTATATGATGCAAGTTATTTATAAATAACAAGAACTTCTGAAATTTAAAATATATATAATATATTATTATTTATAATAAAACTGTATTTTAGTATAATAAAAAATTAAATATTTATAATTTTTTCAATATAATTACATTATATGATCTTTTAACATAGAAAATATTAATTATTTGAGATTGACATGGACCAATCAAATTTCATAATTTTGTTTGTCGATCATTTTTGATCACGATTTTTTAGATTATAACGATGAAGTTATCTTTTCATCTTACGCGCGTTACTTTTGGGAATGGCGGACGACGGCTTGATACTAAACATTTGCTCGGCAACAAAAAATGCGAGTGATACTGCTCATAAAAAGCCAAGCATAAGGGCTCAAGTAAAAGAAGTTGGCGGCAGTTGGAAAGAGCGCAATAGAGTTAGAAAGGCCATTAAAAGCCAAATAAAAAAGTCTGCCAAATCTTATGTTCCTTTGGAACACGATTATAACACAGCCGAAAATGGTGGCTATGACTTGAGCTCAAATAATGAGATCACTCAAAAAAAGTTTCCAAAAAATAAATCCGCTTTTGCTAGGGTAGAAAATTCTAAGGAAGTACAAGAAAAATCGAAAAAATCCGGTAATGCCATTACCACAACGCAACCGCATCAAGTAATTTCTTCTCTTTTTACGTCCAATCCCACGATACCTCCAATTAAACATAATAATCAGCAAAATGATAATTTCCCAAGTAATGCACCGGTGGATGATTCGAACTCATTTATTGGAATGGGTTTAGATGCAGATTTGGTTGCACATGTCAAAGAAAAATTGAATGCAGAGAAACCAACTGATATTCAATGTAAAGCTATTCCACTGTTGTTGAATTCAAATAATATATCAAGAAATGAAATTATCGATTTAGACGTTGTAATTCAAGCGGAAACTGGTTCAGGAAAAACATTGGCATTTCTTTTGCCTATCATAGAAAGATTGATACGTGCCACTAAATCCATGAAGTCAGACTCGCCATTGACACGCTCTCTAGGCACGCTAGCGATAATACTTACGCCGACACGAGAACTTGCGAAACAGACGCTCTCCGTATTGGAGTCTTTGCTAAGTATACCACCATCCAAAACTACCAATAATCGTTTGCAGCATTGGATAGTTCCGGGAATTGTAAACGGTGGTGTTAAGAAGAAAGCAGAGAAGGCAAGACTTCGTAGAGGAGTCAATTTATTGGTTAGTACGCCTGGTAGACTATTAGATCATCTACAAAATACAAGATCATTCTCTGTGGAAAATTTACGATGGCTTGTCCTTGACGAAGCTGATCGATTACTTGAATTGGGATTCGAAGAAACATTACAGAAAATTATACAAATGTTGGATGATCGATCGGAGGCTTATCAAAAAATAAATCAAAAAAATTGTCTTTTTGATTCTGAGATATTACCTAAGAGAAGACAGACAATTCTTTGTTCTGCTACACTAAAAGATGATGTTCGGCGTTTAGCAGGTCAAAACTTGTTCAACCCAACTTATATTAATGGAACTGATCAAAGAACCGATAAAGTGAATAAGGGACATTCAACACATGCAAATAATTCGAAATTGTTTACCACACCAAATCAATTGAAACAAAAATGCATAGTAACACCGGCGAAATTAAGATTAGTCACGTTAACAGCAATACTAAAATCAACATTCAAGCGACACTCGGAATCAATATCTAATGAAAAAGTTATTGTCTTTTTCTCATGTTGCGATGCAGTTGATTTTTATTTCGATTTGTTTGCGAACGCGGGAAATCTCGAACAAGATTCGGATAATGATCAAAATGTTAGCTCAGAGACATCTCTAATTAGCACAGTAATTCCAAACTTGATGATGTTTCGACTACATGGTGAACTATCTCAAACATTACGTACAACAACATTTCAAAAATTTGGCACTGCTTCATCTGGTGTTCTATTTTGTACCGACGTAGCTGCCAGAGGTCTTGATCTTCCAAATGTTTCAAAGATTTTTCAGTATGATCCACCAACTGACATCAAAGATTATGTGCATCGAGTTGGTAGGACTGCGCGATTAGGTAAAGATGGAGAAGCGATGCTTTTTTTGTTGCCTAGTGAAGTTGGATATATTGATTCACTGGAGGCTCGAGGAATAAACACGAAAAATGTTCAAGTAGACACAGTATTAAGAAATTTAACACCAATGAAGCCGAGTGAATATGAGTTGGAAGCGACAAGTATTCAACTTTCTTTTGAGAGATATGTTCTTTCTGATAATCAAGTAAATAAGAATAAATTGGTTTTTATTTTGCTTTTTTTGGATTATTTAAAAATTAACTTCTCTTTGCAGAGAATTTCCAGGGCCCGAAAAGCTTATCTATCTTATATTCGTGCTTATGCCACCCATTCATCTTCCGAGAAAGAAATATTTCACATAAAAAAACTGCATTTAGGCCATCTTGCAAAAAGTTTCGCTTTACGAGAAGCTCCATCAAATATTACGAACATTGAATCAAAGAGATCAAAAAAAAATCATGATAAAATAACACAGAAAAAATTCCCTCCTACTGATAAAGTTATTCAAATTGATCGATTCAAATTAAATAACACAGGTTTGGCGCAGAAAAGAAAACTGGATGTGAATGAATTCGCGGTTGGAAGTTATAAATCTATGATAGGGCCAACTGTTAAAAAGAAACGAAAAATAAAATAAATACCCTTTATTATTGTTGCTATCGTCGGAATATTTCATTTCGAAATTTATTTTTAAACTCAACAATAATTATAAATGTTTTTTAAATGGAGAGCAATTAAGAGTTTATGATCAAAAAAATCTAATTAATTAAATTATAAACTATTTATTATTAATTTCAGAGTTCAGAGATACTCAAATCTTGCCAACGAGCTCTAAAAAAAATAATGGCCAAGTTAACAATATTCATTCTGAAGAAAGTGACAAAACGGTGTAAATTAGATTTATACTTGCTTTCAATTTCTGCTAGCGATTCGTTCAAAATTTGTTGTTGCTATCCGTTAAATTTCGCAATAATGTTATCAGATTTGTTATAATTTTGTAAAAAAAAAAAAAGAAATATAAACAATGCTCACCGTTTTATTATCTTGCAAACTCTGCTTGACTTTTTCAATAACAGCATTAGCGAGAGCACGCTGTTCGCGAGCACGCACTGCAGTCTCGTAACGAACCCAAGAATCTAACACTGATTTGATTTCCGCGGTAACCTCAACTTTTTGTTTTAGTTCGAAAGCTTCAGCTTCGAGTTTAGCGGTTTCCTTCAAGTCATACGAGTTTATATTAACAAAATTTCTTCATCTCTTTTAGCAAATTAAATCATATGAGCAAACAAGACTTACTTTAGAAAGTGCAAACAAGCCTTTTGTCACCTCAACAATATCACCCAATTGTGAGACCGAGTCAATTCTGTCTTTGACAGCAACTTTATGTGCTTCACGAGCATTTTGCAAAAGTTTATTGATACGCTGGAATACCAAATATCAAAACAAATATTTAGACTATAATATCTATGGTGTATATAAATTCCAAATATCAGAAAATAATTGATTATTACATTCCCTCTTTCCGCAAAGTATTCAACAAGAGGCTCCTTGCCATACTTGACGATAGCCGAACATAATCCAATGAATGCTATCACAACTAATGTTTCCTCATTCAACACGTATATCTCTTTTGAGATGGCATATGTCAGTAGACCAGCACCCACGGTGAAATACCCGGTTTTCGAGATGAGGCTATTGCCTGGAAGTGAGTCAATAATACTCCGAGCTTTTTCTTTCGGGTCAACTTCTTTAGGGTTAACTGGTTTCTCTAGAAATGTCAATTAAGAAATACGCTTATTAAAAACACGACTTTAATGATGACGTGATAAAAAAATCAAATAATTTACCACCTTTTGCCGGTGTGACATAATTTCTAAGACTGATAAAACCAAAAATAAAAATAAGAATTACAAATCTTATCAGTTAAAGGTTTCAAATTTTCATTCATCTAATAAAAAAGAAATTGGGATTTGCACACAGATTGATTGATCCATATTCAGATCAGACCATTTTCCCAAGGTAATAATAATGTATCACCGTTATTTCTGAATTCTATCGAAAATTGACATTACCCGGGGGCAAAAGCGATACGTTGAACAGTAACAAGAGCCGGTCTACGGGCAAGTGCTGGAAAAAATGTAAGTAGTTATTTATTGAAAAATGCGAATTATCTCTAGACTTACCAATAGCACTCCTGTTTCGCAGAAGGCTGAGGGCCATATAATGTATTATTCAAAAAAGTAACTAATTATATTGACTGTAAATAAAATGAGTACCAAGTCGTATTTACTAACTTTTGAGAAATCTAACACGATTGATAAATTTAAAGGCACGTGATCTAGTAGATGGCTCACGAAATGGTGGTACAGCTCAACGTGAAATTACTCAGCCTTGCAGAAGAAAATGTCTTTTTTCCGACGAGTAATTTCGGCTCTTAAAAAAATTGCTCCATTATCTTTAGCCGAAACCTCTTGGGACAATGTTGGCTTACTTGTAGAACCACCATATCCCCGAGAAAATGCCTCTCGCGTTTTTCTTACTATAGATTTGACGTCTGAAGTGTTGGAAGAAGCTCTTTCCGATCCCGAAGTGGGTTTTATTATCGCATATCACCCGCCAATTTTTCGTGCTTTCAAGCGTCTCACACTTACCGACACTAAACAAGCTATTGTCATGAAATGTGTGGCGAAAGGTGTTGGAGTTTATAGTCCACATTCTGCACTGGATTCTTGCATTGGAGGAGGTGCGGATATAATAAAGTTTGGTGTATGATGAAAGTTTGGGAGAGTCCTCTTTTTTGGATTGTTGAATTGAAAAAATAGAATATCTTGTAAACTTTGAATGCGATTTTTGTTAGTGAATGATTGGCTTGCAAAAGGACTTGGCTCGGGGAAAACCGAAGTAATTAATCCTCTTGAGAATCCACCTCCCGGTATGTAGATCTAGTGCTAGAGAAGGAAATAATTTTGGTGACCTGCTATAATTTGTTTCTTTAGGTCAAGAAGGCGCTGGTTCAGGCAGAATATTCACTTATAATCAGCCAATACATCTCTTAAACGTGGTTGAACGTGTGAAAAGTCATTTACGACTTCAGCATGGTACGAACATTCATTCTTCCCGCGAATCTACATAGCATTCTTACAAGACTGATTTTTTCATCATTCTAAATTAATTAGTTAGAGTTGCTACAGCGACAAAACACAATTCGGGATTAATTCAGACAGTTGGGATTTGTGCTGGATCTGGTTCGAAAGTGAATTTATTCTTCGCATCTATTTTGTTTGTAATCGATTCCTACTAACAAAGAGATGATGCGATTACTATGATTTTTGCGTAAGCAGGATCTTCCTTACTCTCGCCTGTGAGGGCAGATTTGTATTTTACAGGAGAAATGTCGCATCACGAAGTTCTGGCTGCGTTAGCTCATGACACGAGCGTAATTTTATGTGAGTTCTTTCATTACATCAATCTATTCTTATTGAACTTGACCAAAATTAAATTCTTGTGTATAAATAATCTATTAGGTGAGCATACCAACACAGAAAGAGGCTATTTGTTAGATGTCTTGAAACCAACATTGCAGAGTATTGTTGATGATAGTCTAGATGAGCCAATAGAAGTCTGCGTCAGTCAGCTCGACATTGATCCAATAAAAATCATTTAGTCTAGTTTGCAAAGAATTCAATGATGGAAAATTTCAGGTAACCTAGTAGTGGGCTCTCTCACCCTGGACAATTCCGCTATATATAGATTTCTTTTTTTTTTGGTTGCTTTAATCAATCGATTGAATGATTTCGGAAGATGTCCTAGATTTTCGGTGCTGAAATAATTAAAACAATAATAATAATTGTATAACAATAAGAACAACAATAACAATAAACAAAATAATAACATAATCGAAGAAAAATCGAAAATCTATCCCGAAGAAAAAAAAAGAAAAAAAAACATAAGCGAAGAAAAAATCAACTGTAATTACAGAAGAAAACTAACGATAAAAAAAGATGATGCAAAATTAGTCTGGACTGTACATGTATGGTAGATTAGAGATAAATATAACTTTTCTGCCCACATCTATGGAAGAATAATATTGTATGACGTATTAATAATAATAATAATAATAATAATAATAATGTGTTGGAGGTGGTGGCGGAAGACTTGCTTCATGCCTTGTTTTTTGTGTTTTAAAAAAAGGAATACCACCCATTCTTTCGCCCTCAATTCTCAGAATAATAAAAGAAAAATTTTCAAATACTATTAATTGATGATGTAGATGTTGCTGTTGATGTTGATGTTGTAGTTCCATTAGTGTTCGTGATACTGATGGTGCTATTATTGGTACTGTTATTGTTAATAGTGGTATTGTTAATGGTATTGTTAATGGTATTGGTACTGGTAATGATGACGTTAATAACAGGACTTGACGTTTCTCGGAGTAAACTTATTTTGCCATTTGTAGCTGCTGTAATCGTCGTCGTTGATGAAGATGATGGAGGTGGTAATTGTGGCGGAGGTGTAGCCGATTGAGGTACACCATCTGTTGACGGAATATTACTGCTATTATTGCTATTATTACTATTATTATTATCATTATTATCATTATCATTATTATCATTATCGTTATCATTATCATTATCGTTATTATTATTATTAATACTACTACTACTGCTACTATTGTTACCGTCGTTGTTGTTGCTGTTATTAGAGACTGGTGTTGCGAGTGTCATATTTGCAACGTTTGGTGTGGTTGATGATCCAACCCCCAAACCATATAAGAAACCCCTTTTATTAAGTTATTAATAGATTGATCGTTATTAATATTAATAGACAAGCACCGTGAATACAAAAACTTATCAAAAAAAGGCGTACAAGTACTTTGAATCATCGATTTTGTCGTTCAAATGAACCTCACGCATCTTAAAAAACACTGAAGCTGTAAGCAAACTATCACTACCAGCCTGATGTTGTGGACCAATTCGAGTTACCTGCATAATTAATTAATTAATTAATTATTGGTTATTTACGTATGACATAACTATATACATCTCGTTGAGTTATATACAATAAACATAAAGAATATATATAAATCACCTACCCCCATATCATCAGCTATATCTTGTAACCCGCCCTTTAAGGCTTTGAAAGCTCTGATGCAATATTTTATATCGTATATACAGGGAAAATATGTTCGTAGTAGATCAAAAAATTCTGTCTCTTCGGCTGGCAGTGGCGAGCATGTGAGCAACTTTAGCAGGTATCCAAAGTCGTAACCACTATATCAAGCAACAATTATTAGGACAATATCCCGTAATAATTTCCCTAACCATCACAAAACAATCTCTACCTGTGAAAAGATATCCATTTTACGTCGTCCAGTAATACAAATCCAGAACTAATTAATAATTCGCCAAAATGTTCTACGTCTATACCGTAATCTTCGTGTTTCTTGAAATCTATGCCAGACTTTAACAATAGGTCAATGGAATCTTGGGCGTACATGTCATCTCTGAACAAAAAAATCAAAAAACGAATTGGAGACCCAATAAACACAACCAACAAATGAAAGATAGCAGAGAACAACACTCTCCAAAAGTTCCTAACATGCCAAGGAGAAAAAAATCGAACCAAACTTACGCTAGATTAAACTTGAAATTAAACTGCCACGTACAAATATCCTGCGGTAAATTTCCATCACCGTCTGCAAACGTCAGTCCCAACTGAATTATTTTCAACAAATCGACATTACATCGAAGTGTCTGATAATGATAATCGGAGCTCGTACGAAAGTTGCCAATAGGTCGAGCAACAACCCCTGGGAACTCTGTATCCTAGCACGTAAAGGAAAATAAATTAGCATTATAGATCTGAGGAATCTTGGTAAATCAAAACGTGTTAAGGATGGATCGCGAGAGAAACAAGTGGGCAAGCAACGGAGAAAACAAAAAATAAAAATTTTGCTTATTGGGGGAAAATACCATTGCAAGGTAAGGATATTTTTCAACCAAATCACGCATGACAGCCATTTCTTCCTCGAGGTTTTCTGCCCACACCTCCTTAATGTATTTGCTTTCGTTGGTCGATGGCATGCTTTATTTATGACTGACTGACTGAGTGCTTTATAAAAATTGTTTACGCGTCAACAACGAACATTTCGAAATGAATCTTTGGACTAGGCGTTTTTACAACGTTGATGATTTATACTTTATATGAAGCGCATATTTGTGGATAATTTTTGATTGGCCAAGAATATAATAATCCTGATTTTTATTATTTCAATAAAATATAGTATTGTACAATTTAAATGAGGATAAAAATATGAACCTCGTAAATTTTGTTTATATAACAATATGTTTGTTCCTCTATACAATAGAAAATACGTTTATATCTACATTGTTGAAACCACAAGAAAAAGGGAAAGGAGTAAATATAGAATAGAATCTGGATAGCCTTTATGTTTGATTTGATAAGTATATACGTTGTATATATACATACGTACATATGTTTTATATATATATATAAATATAAAATAGAGGGTACCCATTTCCACATCAAAGTATCGCGGAATTAGGCATGATTCACAGCATTCTCTGCATATTTAGTGTCCGAGGTCACCGCAATATTGTTAGGATTGCCATTATAGGTTGGAGGTGGTACCCAATTATCAGCTGTTGGCACGCCCTGCGATGCATAGACAAAGTAAGTTGGTGGAAGATCGTCACCATCCTTGGAGAGAGGATATGGATACTGAGATATACTACTCATTGAACGTGCAAAACGGAACACGACGCGAGAAAAGTAAACCTAAAAGAACAAACGATGGGTAAGAACTCTAGTAGATTTGGAATAAAGCGAATAAAAAAAATTTAATTTTACTTGAATCATCCCGAAGAGGAACATGAATATGCCTTCTCTAATCAGATATATCTTCACGACACGTTTACAACTAATCGTGTCACTGTCTAATTGTTCCTCTTCTATTATGCGGTTACAACTATCCACAAGTTTTTCTCGGGTTGCAATGTCAACCGAGAGGTCGGTGAGGTATAATATTAATATGAATACCGTGAGAACGACGACCCCAATTGATAAGCGACGCATCAAAATTACTTTATCCTATGTTATTTTTATTTTATTAGTATTGTAATATTATATAATATAATAGCGAGAGAATAGAAAGAATTTTTATATACTTTGTATAGTGCATGCATCCCAACAACACCAACAATCGCGGCTAAGAATGACACGATGCCGGTGAATGTATAGTATACTTGATTCGATACCGACTGAGTGGCTACTTGTATTTTTTTTATAATGGGATAAAAAATTAGAATTCAATTTACCAATTTACCAATTGCACAATACAGAATGCATACAAACTTACAAATTAAGGCGGAAATACAAGAGGCTGTTCGAATTATTCCCAAAAACTAATGACAATAATTATTTATTGATTAATAAAATACATAATCCCTGATAAAATAATCATTTCAAGTAACAAATACACTTACGAAATAAACAGAGAAGATAGCAAGGACGACCGTTCGCTCAGGCAGACAACCGCAAGCAGTTCTCCTTTTTACCAACAGTTTTTCTCCATTATCGATAATAGTAATAGTTGGAAAAGTATCGCCTTTACGTACTGCATGAAGGGAATCAGCAGTGGTGCTTTCAGTTGTATTATTAGTAGTATTGTTGTTGTTACTGTTGTTATTGTTGTCAGTTCTTGTGGTAACTTCGGTAGTAGTGGCAGACATTTCGTGAGAAAACAAGTATTTCTTTCCTTTGTACTGTGATTATTAGTAATGTGTTATTGGGGGTTATGTTAGAGAGTGTGTGTACGTGTATAAGTGAATTAAATAAGTGCTCTTTATATCTATAATTGTTAAGGACTTTTTTATTATAATTGATTGATTGATTAATTTATTGATTTGTTGAGAGATGGAAGATAGAGGAAGAAAAGATTGATTGATGAATTATGATAAATAAATCGGCCTGCGATTTTTTTAATAATTGAGGAAAAGGAAGAGCAAACGAAAAAAATAAACAAAAATAATTCTCAGCGTTGGTCGACTCTCTTTTTATGCATGAAAATCAGCGTTGGGCGAATTTGATGTGACTCTATGCATGAAAATTCTGATACACGTTAAAAGCGGGGTTCATGTTGAAACACAGCAACAAATGTCAAACCTTAATTAAGCGATAATAAATATACTATCACTGTCACTATTGCTATTAATATAAATGTATGTTTCACACACTATTTTTTGTTCATAGTGTTCATACAACTCTCGATTCGATAAAATCCACGATTCACGTGAATTAAAGTTTCATTACAAAGGTACTAGGACATGAGCGAAAATTTCACATAACGACCTGGTTCCATATAACACGATTTTACTTAACGGTCGTTATATCAAGAGTTCATTATATCGAGAACGTCTTTGTATAGATCGTAACAACCTTCACACTGATAATGACAGACTTCTTTATCTAAAATGTTCTATTCTTTATAAATTTATTTTAATTACAATAGGCTACTGCGATTAAATAGATTTTTTGTTTCTATTTTTGATTAATAATAAATTAAACTTAAAAGGATCAATTTATAGATGTTTACAATCAAATCCCTTTTAGTCATTCATTGCTTCAAATGGAAAGACTATAAAAGTATATATTAATTATAATCATTTAATACACCCCTACAATAAATTACCAGAAATCCAAAAAAAAAACGCTTAGTAAAAAGTTATCATTTTTATTTTAATATCTGATAAGTTATAGTAGGTGTGTAATAGGCAGGTCAATTACATTTAATTAATAGTTATAAAAATAATCGGATATTTAATTGTATCAAAGTAAGATTGCAATTTTAATAATATATTAATTATATTTTAATTTTGATATACTTAAATTGATACTTATAAAATTACAATAACTCAAACTAAATACAATGTCATCAAAACCTACTAATAAAACTTATGAAAACATAAGATTTCTCTTAATATAAAATTTTCAATTTTATTAATAATTATTTTTTATTTTCATATCAAGATAAGAATAATCTATATTTTAATATACATTTTTTTTTGATTTTTTGAAATATAGTGACTAAAAAACTTATAAAATCAGTGTGCAATTTTATTAATAAAACATAATAAAAATTGAAATTTTTGGCTTATACAATAACTTACAAAAATAATGTATTACTTTCAAATTTTACTAATAAAATATAATAAAATACAAGTATTTTTTATATAAAAATTTTCAATTTTATTAATTAAATTTCTTATTTTTATACAAAAAATATTCATATTTTAATATATTTTTTTCAGATTTTTTATATTTAATCTGAAAAAGTTTTTCTAGTTACAAAATAAGTTAATTAATTTTTTATAATTATTAAAATATATAAAAAATTAATCAATTACTTTGTAATTAGAAAAACTTTTTCAGATTAAATATAAAAAATCTGAAAAATATATATTAAAATATGAATTTTTATTTATATTTTTTTGTATAAAAATAAAAAATTTTAATTAATAAAATTGAAAATTTTGTATTTTATTATATTTTATTAATAAATTTTAAAAGTAATATATTACTTTTATAAGTTATTATATAAAGTTTTTAATTTTATTAATAAATATTTTTTATTTTTATATCTTAATATAATTTTTTCAAATTAATTTGACAAAGTTGTTTTAATTGCAAAGTTATTATAAAATTTTTTATAATTAAAATAACTTTGTTAAATTAAATTCAAAAAATATGTATTAAAATATAATTTATAATTTTTATTTTAATATAAAAATAAAAAGTATTTATTAATAAAATTTTTAATTTTTACTTAGTTTTAGATAGTATTTGAACCTAAATTAAATATTCAAATTATAATTATAATTACCTAAATGAATATAAATAAATTAATTTATGGATAAAATCATCAATTAATTTGTTAAAAATACACCATATTATATTATATTACAAATTATTATTTTTTTAATTTTTATAATATAATATATAGTTTTATAACTTTAAATAATTTTGTATATTTTTATTATTATTATTATTATTATTATTATTATTATTTATGCTATAATGTAGTCACGCTCTAAATCTAAGACTAATTTAACTTATAAAGTAAAGATTACAAATTAAAAGATAAGATAAAGAGTCACCAAAAATTTTGTACGAAAAAATTATGATGTAACTAGCCATCCAAATGATGCTCGTAACTAACTAAAGTCTATAGAATTAATGAATAAGTCATTTTTCACTTGGAGAGAATAAATTAAAAAGATTATGTTATCTTCTTAAATATTGGTGAGATCTTCATCAGGACATTAATTATTAATATAATTTGAAGTAGAAAATTTGCATTCACAAAGATCCAGTTCCATATGTATTTTATAAATATTATTAATTGAGAAAATAATTGTTGTATTAACAGAATAATCTATGCATTTTTTGGAAGATCATTTATGTTTTGTGAATATAGAGTTTGATTTTTCAAATTCTATTTGATTTTTGTAGTGAGCAAGTCAAATCTAAATAAAGTTCTGTTTGACAAATCAAATTATAAATTTGGCAAAGAGTTTGAATACATATGAGTTTGGAATATTGAGGAATTTGAAAAAATCAATGAATTCTTTAATGGCAAAATCTTTGAAAACATATATATAATCTGATTTGTGACTTATACCAAATGAAAGTGAAGTATTATTGAAAAAAAATGAAGATTCGAGAATTTTTTCTAATTTTATAGTAGACTGGTGCAGTATAAACTTGATGATATCTTAAAATTAGAACATGTTCATAAATAATCATTGGTTTCAGATAATAGATAATATCTATTGCAAATATTATGCAGATATAGAAAAGATTTGAATTTGTAAAGATTATACAAGGTTAAAAGTAAGTTATAAGAGAGTTTTATGAAATAGATATAAAATTTTAAAGTTTTTGAGTTTACTGTTATAGAATGAATTCTGTAGTCTTGATTTCATGTTAGATTAGTAACTTTCCAGTCAACAGTATATCAAAAGCTACAATTGAATAAGTTGTTTTTAATATGTGAAGTTACCATTTGGAAATTATATACTTCTTATCTTGAAGTTTTAGAAAATTGTGAAAATTGATTGTTATTGGTAGTTTGTTATTGAATACAAGAACATATTTAGTTTCTGACAAATTGTGAAAATTTATTGAGATAACATTATTATGACCTGGAATTATTTTTAATCTTTTAATTTCTTAATTTTGATCATGTGACTAAATATAGATTGTAGAGATAATAGAGTTTTTAGATATATCAACATTATTCACTATATCATATTTATCTAATATATATAATATATCACATATTATAATAACTTAATCATAAATTATTTTATATAAATAAAGAATCTTTTAAATAAACCAAAAGTTATCAATTGATCAATACAAAATCTAGCTAATTAATAAACTGCTTCTTGTTTATTATTTAATGAAATTGTACATTAATTGATTTTATAATTATTAATCTTGTTATAACACTTACTTTATATATTACTGGATACTCAATCAGGTTGCTATAGAATATCAGTATTGTTACCGTTGTGACATGTTATATGTTATTTAGCTATTTGTTGACACGGTTATGCAAAAGTCCAAGATGGTGAGCATAATGTCATTACCAGAAGGAGTTCAACATCTATCTATAATAATGATATTTCTCTCACATGATAATAGTATTTGACAAAGAA